GCACGAGAGTCTCCAGGATGGGCTCCAAGTTCCCGGGCTGCTTCCCGCGGGGGAGGCGCTGGAGGCGGAACAGCAAGACGGGAAAGCAGGAGCCCCCCGCCGGTAAGGAGGGACAGGGGACCCCAGCCCAGCTTTGCTCCCTTTCTCCCCCGCCCTCTCCTCCTGAACCTCCTTCCCTCTTCCTCACAGGGGCTTCCTCCGAGGAGCCCGAACCCAAAGCCACCCGGACCCGATCCACCCCTTCCACCAGCAGCGAGACAGAGGCCGCCGAGAGCGGGCGGGCTTACTTCAGCAGCAAAGCCCGCGTGTCCTTTCGCCACCAGCTGGACTCGGAGCGAGATGCCACCACCTGAGCCCACCTGAGTGGGAGGCCGGCCGGCCGGCAGGTAGGCAGGCAAGCAAGCAGCTGTGGGCCAGAGCCAGCGGCACCTCCAAATCCCTCCCTTCAGCTGCCCGGACAGGGACTGCGTGGACTAGGGGCCGACGACCCCCTTCCAAAGACCACCACTGGCGAGCAAGAGGGCTGGCAGAGGCCCCCCCCCAGGGATCGAGCACTCAGGGGGGCCCAGCAAGCCACGGGGGGCCTCTGCTCTGCGCTTATTACCCTTGGGAGCCAGGATTGGGCCCCTCCACCTACCAGGAACTACGGATTGGAGCGACCCTGCCGGGGAAGAGCCAGCCGGCCCCCCAGCCAGGATGCAGAGGAGTGACCGACTCACTGGGGGCCCCAACCCCACACCCCTGACCGTTGTATGGCAATAAAGGGACCTGCACTGGCCAACCTGCGTGCCACATGCCTTTCCTTTCACCTCCTGAAAAGGGAGGTGGGCTTAATGGAATCCACACTTTGTTTGCAAAGAGCTGCAGACTTTTGCTCTTAGGGCTCCACAGTGTGTGTGCGTGTGGGGGGAGTGGCCCAGTCGTCGTGCCACGCACACTAATGGTGGGCGAGCGAGCGCTGCTGTTTTTGGGAGGCGCCTGCCTGAAAGCAGCTTCTGAGTGGCGCCGGGCCCAGGGACCCTAGCCAAGGGAGAGGCAGGCTTGAGCACGAAGGAGGGAGGGGCGCTGTGGGAAGCCCCCCCCTTCCTGCTGTTAGACATGTGGAAAATATGCTTTCTAAGGCAGTGGAAAATAAGCTTTTTAAGGCCAACAGGAGCCACCAGCCACCACTTCCCCCCCCTCCATCTCTCTGGGAGAGCAGGACCAGCTGGGTGGAGTATGTGAGTTCTGGGCGTAACCCCCTTATCTCACCCACACACTCCAGACACGATAATCACTGCTTGGAAAGTCTGGGAGTGAAGAAGCCAAGCCACAAGGGCTCTCTGCACGCACTCTGCTGCCTGACGGGGATGGAGCCGCCAGCACCCTCTGCCGGCTGCTGGAGGGAGGCCTGCCGGAGGAGGGAGAAGGGGCCCCCTCTTTTTCTCTGGACCCCTGGGTCAGGGGAAGAACCTGCCCTCCGCCTGGACCCCTTGGTCTTTGCCTAGACCGACCATTCCCACCAAAGGAACACAGCATCTTGAACAGCCAGGACAAACGTCTCCCCTTCTGCCCCCTCCACATCTCCACTGCTCCCCACCACTATCCCCCGATCCTGAGTAAAAACCAGCCAACACACTCTTATGTTTTGTCTCCCGTATTTTAATACAACATCAAGCGTCGGTGCTGGCAGAACACAGTCCTGACTCCCCACGACAAGGAGGGTGTGGTGCCTCCCCCTCCTTCTCAGAGGGAGGTGAACCGAGGCAGCTCATTGCCCAGAATGACCTTGCGCTCCACGCCGTCCTTTGTGATGGCTGCCAGGCGGATCACTCCCCCACTGGAGCCATCCCGGTCCATGGCCAGGGAGAGGGCTACAAGGGAAGAGCAGCGGCGGGGGGGGGGCAGTGAGACTGGAGGAAATCAGCAGCCCTCCCCACTGCCTCCCAGGGTCCCATCCTTCTGCCTCCCAGGATCCATGAGCCCGCCAAAGAGAGGCACTTCTCCTTACCATTGGCTGTGAAGGCTAAGCATTCCTCTTTGCTCATGCCGGGCTTGTAGGAAGCATCAACGTAACCATAGATGTAGGAGCTGCCAGAGCCCCCAATGGAAAAGGGCTGGCGAACCATCATTCCACCCATGGGCACAGCGTACACCTGAAGCAGAGCAAGACGAGGGGAAGAGAGCAAGCTAAAGGGACCGATTCCTCCCAGGCTGGCTGGCAGAGCCGCTGCTGCATCTGTTATCTAGGCAGCCACTTCTGGGGCAGGTGAGCACACATGAGGACTTGGCCCTGCTGATGTCCCGAGAGAGGCGCCCCAACCCCCTGCTTCTCACCTGGCCCCCTTTGCGTTTGTCCCAGCCAGCCACGAGGATTCCAGCGGTCAGTTCTTCGCGATAGCGGTAGCACATCTCCTTGAAAAGGTTAGCTGCAGTGTGCACCAGCGGCTGCTCATCCAGCTCAATGCTGTAAAACATTTGGGGGGGGGGAGAGAGAGAGAGAGCACACAGGATTCATGTCACCCCAGCAGACAGGCAGGCATGAGGCTGGCCACAGCTGCCTGCCAGGAAAACCCAGCTAATGGCCATCTGCCAGTTTTTCTGACCCACATTACCCATCGACCGAGACCCACAGTGAGCAAATATGGGAGCTTCAGGCCATGAACATCAAGAAGGCCATGGTGAGCCCCCTCTTCATGTAGCCTTTTTGCTTTGGGTGGGGAGGCTTTCTGCAGCCCTCGCCACCTTACAAAATGCTTCACTTTTGACCTTACCACAAAAGCATGGCCCTCCCTAAACGGAACTGTTCTTTCAAAATCTCAGTGAATCAGCCTTTGGATTTTTCCATCTCTGCCCTTAGCAGCTCCTGGCTTGAGAGGAAATCTCCACGCTGGAGCAGTTTGGCTCACGGATCATAAAGAAGGGTGGGGACTGAGTGGCAATCATTGTTTGAAGGGTGGGATCTGGGCAGGACGCCCTTGAGAATTCTGTCCCAGGGCCTCTTTGCAGATATAGGACTTGCACCTCCCTGCCACTGGCCATCTTTTCCCTCATAAGAGTCCCAAGACCTGGAGACTTTCCACTCTTGCAGCTGAAGCTGGTTTCTATGGTGTGTAAGTGGGGAGTCGGGAGAGACAGAAAACAGGGATTTGGAACATCACAAGAATTTTCAAAGTGAATAGGAAGACACATATATAAGAATGTCTGAAAATTCATGGAATTCCAAAAAATAATTTTTTTAAAAAAAAATACCACACAACTCTTCTCTCTTGAGTTCTCAGCCGTAATACATCTGAGATTTATAGAAAAAAGTTACCATATTCTTATGGGAAATGAGCTTTTAAAAAAGAAATGCCGGCACTAACCTACTGGGCTGCTGAAGAAGTGAAACGAGGAAGGGGATCTTTGCCCCTTAAGGATTTGAAAAGAGCCCAGGTCTGGATCAAACCCCAGGGAACCCATCCTGTCCAGCCTCCCCCGCAGGCCAGCCACATAATCCCCAGGGTTCCAAACGTTGAGTGCCAGAACACTGCCTTTCTCCCCTACCTACTGCAAGCCTTCAGAGGCTTCAGAGAAAACTGCCTCTCAGCCACACCCAACATGCCCGCTTAGCTCTTGGGGGTCCTGCAAACAGAGTTCTCCCTTGTGTTGCCCAACTGTTTTCATGGTCTGTTATTTGGGAACTGGTGGAAACCTCCAAGTTCCTACCTAGTGTTGGGGAGTGGCCCATCACACACACCCCCACACACACAAATGCAATCCCAGCGAGTTCCCCACTTGGTACCTGTGGAAGCCCAGCTGGTACGTGACAGCATCTGCTATGGCCTGGGTGTCAGCGGCTGAGCCTGATCGGCAGCAGAAAATGTGGTCGTGGATCTGTGTCAGCTTATCCGTGACCCGGTTCGCAATGTATGAACTGCAAAAGGTGGGGAAACGTGTCAGAATGTTCCCCGGTGAGCCCCACATGTGGCACCAGGAGGAGCAACATAAGCCAGGGGTCTCTGAAGGCGGCCCACGTGGGAATGTTCAAGGCTGGCTGGAACCCACAATCTGCCAGGGGCCTCCTTGTATGCCTTCTGCTCAGCTGGCCCTTGGGCCACAGGAAACAGCGGGGCTATGCCTCCCACCTCCCCTACCCCCAAAGAAGGCAAGCCTTTTGAGAAGGTGCTCATCCCCCAATACTGCAAGAGCCGGGGGGGGGCCCTCTCTTTCGCCCCCCTCACCCTGTCGTGGTTCGGGAGTCCGCTCCAATGACAACCCCTCCGTCAAACTCCACCGCCATGATGGTGGTCTGCGGGAGGAAAGGACAAGGAATCAGAAACAAACAACTACGTAAATAAATCCCAAACCGAGTGACTAGTAAACCTTGGAACTGGGAAGCCCCGGAGGGGCGGGTGCATGTTTGCGGGGGGGGGAGAGAACTGAGCGGGAGAGAGACGCCCACCAGCCCCCCTGGGCTCCAGGAGCCTGAAGGAGGGCGAGGGATGCCTCGTGGCCGCCTAAGGATGATCCCGAGCGCCCGCTGGAGAAACCGGATCAGGCCCAGCAGAGGCTTCGACCACCTGGCATCCCGGCCCCGAGAGGGAAACCTTCCCCTTCCCGCCCCCCCTCTCTCCGCCCAGCCATCATCGCCCTCCTGGTTACGGCTCTATTTCTTTCCTGCTCCGAGGACGCCCCCTCCCCAAAGGCCTGCCCCGCAGCTTCGTGCCCTGCGCGCCGATCCTTGCTCGCCCCGTGGGGGGGGTCTTTCCTGAGGGGGGGGTGCCCGGAGGGAGGGAGGGACGGCCCGCCCCTGCCAGCTCCTCACCCCGGTGGTCTCCGCCTGGCGAAGGCAGTCCGGGCAGCCCCCGCCGAGCCCCAGGCTCAGCCCCAGCAGCGAGGCCGACGCCATCTTGGATCTGAGCACGGCAACGTCGCAAAAACGCCGAGGCACGCCGGAGCGCTTTACGGCGCCGGTTCTGGGTCTCACCGCAGAGCTAGGAAAAGGGAAGAGGGGACCCCGGCCCCCCTGCGGCTCCTCAGGGTCTCCTCAGGGGCTTTGCATTTCTATGGCGCTTTTCTCCCGTCGAGACCACCACGTTCAGAGGGCGCTGCACGGCAGGGGTGTCCGTGGGGCCCTCCTTTCTTTTAGGGCAGGGATTCCCAGCCTTGGGCAAACCCGGTGTTCTTGGACTGCAGCCCCCGAGAAGCGCAGGGCAGCACAGCTGGGGGCGAAGGCTTCTGGGAATTGCAGTCCAAGAACAACCGCGTCGCCCAAGGCTGGGAACCGCCGCTCTTGTCCTGGATTCCTAGGGCTAGTCCAGAGATGGGGAACCAGAAAATCTGAGCCATCCTTCCCCAAAAAGCAGCTTCCCCCCTCCCTCCCTCTCTCCCCCCTCTCCCTCCCCATCTCGCACTACTAAAAAGAAAAGGGATCTCGGGGGGGGGGGCGGCGGGGCACCGA